CACACCTCATCGTCAGTGTCATCGTCGACGATGCCAGCGTCCGGGCCGTAGAGGCCATCCAATATGGAGTTGAGCGCCGCCGATGCGTGTGACGCCTGCGAACCATGCTGCTGCTGCTGCTGCTTGGTGGTGCTACTGCTGGTGCTGGTGCTTCCGTGGTCCTGTGTGAGGGCTGATGCCCCGCCGCCGATCGCACAAGCAGCTTTCACTAGCGAGGTTGTCAGCTGCATGACACGCAAAGAGACAGAGCGTTGTCAGCTGCACCCTCTCTCTGTCTCTCTCTGTGTGTGTGTGTGTGTGACGTGCTGCACCTGGTTGACAATCGACGCTGACGGCCCATGACCATGATTGGGTGTCTGCTGCTGATCGCGCGCAAACATGTCCTTGACAAAGGTGAGGGCCGCGCCGAAGCTGTGCTGCCGGATGAGGCACTTGACCACCAGCCCCGCACACCGCACCGACACCCCACCAGATGTCAACGCGTTGATCTTGCCGTGCAGGTGCTTGACGCGCTGCTCGTTGCCGGCCGCGGCGTTGGCCACCATCAGACACTCCATCACCTCGGGCATGCAGCCCATCACCTGCACCACACACCACACACACACACCGCAGCCACAGATGCGCTCAGTGTGTGTGTGTGGATGGCCGTGCTGCTGACCGACCTCATCGCCCCAGACCTCCCAGCACTTCCGCTCCACGTATTCCAGCAGCGGGGAGGAGAGGGAGGGCGGGGAGGGTCCATGAGGCGCGCGGCTGTGATTGTGAGAGTGAGAGTGAGAGTGGGAGGAGACCGACGCTGTGGACCGCGGAGAGTCACCCTGCACCCAGCAAACCAAAACACACAACACACAACACACAACACACAACAAAGTGCAATGGGACGGTTTCTCTCTCTCCCCCCCTCTCTGTGGGTTTGGTTTGGGGGGGCGGTAGCGTACGGTGGATCCTGCCAGCCCCCCGCCGAGTGTGGGTGAGGGCGGCAGCGGCACGTGACGCTCACGATCGCCGTCGCAAAACGGGGTGTCTGCCACACACACACACACACACACACATACAGAGGGATGGATGGATGGATCAGAGGTCCTGAAGGAGCCGAGCTATGTGTGTGTGTGTGTGCGGACCAGGTGTATCAGGAATGGGCAGCGGGTGGCTCTCCGAGGTGGTGGTGGTGGTGCTGAGTGACGCATGGGCATGGGGGTGGGGCGAGGGGTGGGCCGGGGGAGAGGTCGGCGGCTGGTGCTTTATCGTCAGGTCCAGGACGGCTATCGCTGCCTGTGCAGGTGGGTATTTGGCGTGTGTGAGATAAGCGAAGAAGCCGTCGAGCGTGTGGCTGCTGTGGTGGGAGGTCAGGAGCGCCGCGTGGAACATCTGACGAAAGGTGTCCAGGGGAATCACGCAATCCACACGCACTCTGCACACACCAACGGGCGGGCACACGGAGGGAGGGAGTGAGAACCAAAAGGAGATGACTGGACATCCATTCTCTTGTGTGGTCTTACCGCCATGTGTCCCACAGTTCCATCACCCTATCGGCCCGCTGCATTTCGCTGAGCCGACGGACTCGCTCACACATGGCACGCAGCTCATTCGCCCGCTCTCGCTCCCTCTCCCCCTCTCTCTCAACATCACTCGCGGCACCATCAGCTGCACCAGACACGGACACAGAGGGGGCGCCCTCGCTCCCACCGACACCACCACCAGTAGCACTATCAGCAGCAGCAGCGGAGCCATCAGGCGAGCTGCGGAGGTCTTTCAACGCCTGAATGCATGTGTAGCAACACACCACACACGACACGTACGCAGAGAGGTGTGTGTGTGTGCAGGGTGAGATGAGATTGATTGATAGGACGAGACGAGCTCACCTCTAGCGCAGCAACATGGCTGCTGCAGGGCGGCTGCATGGCGTCACGGACACTACACGAGAGAGACCCACCACCCACACCCTCTCTCGCCTCACCAGCAGCACCCTGCTGCTGCTGCTGGGGCGAGTGGGGCTGCTGCTGCGTCTGCTGCGACTGCTGCTGCTCACATGCCGGCGGGGGCGCCGTGGAGGCGCTGGTGGTGGTGACGGATCGGTGACGCAGCCCGGTGGGGATGTTGATCTGCAGAGGGAGGGAGGAAAGGTCCACCTTCTCCACCGCCTGCTTGTCGTCGCTCTCATGGTCCTTCTGTGCCTGTGCTGCTGCTGTAGTGTTGGTGTTGGTGTCCTGTTGGCTGCTGGCCTTTGGGGACGGGTGGGTGTGGGCGTGGGCGTTTGATGCGGCTGTGGGGTCGTCCTGTGCGGCGGGGGCGGGGTACCGACGAGCATACTGATGCTGCACAGACACATACCATACAAACAGAACAGAGAGAGAAGGGAAATGCCGACTGACACAGAGAGAGGGAAGTGCTGATCTGTGCAGCGCTGTGCTACTCTGCGGCATGCATGGCATGCCTGGATGAATCTGATGCATCTGAAGAAGAGGAACCCGATGAGGACGACTGCGAGGGCTGCGATCTCCACCCATATAGACGTCAGGACGTCACGCAGAGAGGGGGAGGGGGAGGGGTGGGCAGATAGAGATAGAGGCAGAGAGAGAAGGGCCGACAGCGACCACATACTTGTGCCTGAGAGAACGCAAACACACAGAAATGCCCCATCCGGCAGCTCTGCATGCTCTTCTTACCACTCACTACTATCGAGCACTCTCAATCAACTTTCACTCTCCCGTCCCGTCGCGTGTACGATCGCTGAGTAAGCCGAGTACTTCAGTATCAGACAGGACGAACCGAGGGAGGGAGGGATGATTGAGTCGAGACTCGAGCTGCCTGAGACAAGACGCGCCGCACAGGACGTGGGCACCCCTGCCGATAGAAAGAAAGTAGAATGGGCAATAGTTAACAATGCGGTCGCGTTGGTTCGCACGCCCGCGGACGAGCCGAGCGGAGCTCCTGTGCCGAGCCGGGCTACACAAGCGGACAAGATGCTCTCGCCCGGCGCGTCCACGACATGACGCCGACAGAACGAACGAACACGAAGAGCTCGAGGGTTGAGGAGAGGCAGAGGGAGGGAGGCTAGGTTCGATAAGCCGATAATACGGGTGGCTGTGTGCGGCGAGAGCTACGGCAGTGATGGCGTTGCGGGAGGGAGGACGACGCACGGGTGTGGTGCTGCGCTGTTGTCGGTCAATCAATCACGCTATATCGCCGTCAGCGGTCCCCATTTGATACAGTTTCACGCCGCCTGAAGTTAGGGTGAGGTGAGGAGTCAGTAGACTCAGAATCACTTTCTAAGGGAGAAAAGACAAAGGCAAGCGGAAGAACACCTCGCCCCCAGCTGGCCCGTCTCAGTTTCAGTCTCTCAGTCTCGTGCATAGAGCCCCTCTCCTCCTGACCATTGCAAAGAAGGTGAGCCAGCAGCCGCACGCCCCGGGCGGGCACGATGGAATGCAACCAATAGACCTTTAGCTCCCTCTCTCTCTTTCGCCGTCAGATGGGGAACTCTCTCACATGCCGTCTGCTATGCTGCGCCGAGAGAGAGGTGGTCAGTGCAGTGCAAACAGGCAGAGAGCTCACAATGATATGTATGTAACGATATATAATGACAATGATTATTGATGCGTGCACCAGGCTGACCAGCAGACCAAGGTGGAGGAGTACCCTGTGGTGCGGTACCCCGACGTAACGCCCATGAAGGAAAAAATCGTCCTTGAGGCCGACAAGGAGCCATCGCAACAGCAGCAGCAGCAACAGCAGCAGCAACAGCTGAAGCAGCAGTCGGAGAGGGAGGAGGAGGAGGAGGAGGAGGAGGAGGAGGGCGAGGAGGAGCAGGCGGAGAACGGCGTCATCACCGGCCTGCAACAGGGTGAGTGGTCGGATATCCACCCTTCGATACCCACACACACTCCTGTCTTCTTGTTTTTTCACTCGCCTCACCTCACCTCCTGCACACTCCTGTCTGTCTGCAGGCAACTACTTTGAGCGTGAGTTGGTTGAGCTGGAGTTGATCCCCGACGACGGCGGCCGCGTCGCCGCCACCAAGCCGCCGTACACGTTCAAGACGGGAGCTGTCTATGAGGGACAGGTACTCAAGCACAAAGACACACAGGCAGACACGTGTAAGTAAGGGTGATGGGTGCAGTGGGTCGGCAACAAGCGGCACGGCCACGGCAAGATGACCTGGGCTGACGGCGCCTGCTATGAAGGCAAAGACAGACAGACAGATACACAGAAAGGGCCCAGCACATGTCTCCTCTCCTTACAGGTGAGTGGGTTGAGAACAAGGCGCATGGCAAGGGCGAGTTCGTGCACGCCGACGGCGACAAGTACATCGGCCAGTGGCACCAGAACGCCGCAAGGGGCGTCGGCACATACATACACAAGAACCAAAGCACCTACAGAGGCCAGGTGAGGTGGGTGGAGCACACGAGCGACCGACGAGACACACGCATCCATCCATCCATCCATTTGCAGTGGGAGGACGACCAGCAGCACGGGTATGGCATAGAGGAGTGGCAGGAGGGCGCCAAGTACGAAGGCACCTTCATTCACGGCAAGAAGGACGGCGTGGGCGTCTACTTTTGGTCCGACGGCAGCCGCTATGCGGGCGAGTGGAGACACAACAAGATACACGGCCACGGACACTACACCGGTACCCACACGCACAGACAGATACACTGAGGGGCGGCGCCCCATCGATGGATGGATGGATGGATTAACAGGTCAGGACGGCCGTGAGTTCCGCGGCACATGGGTTGGCTCGCTGATGGATGGCGTCGGCAGCTACAAGTGGCCCGACGGTCGCACCTATGAGGGCATGTACAAAAACGACAAAAAGGACGGCTTCGGCATGTACGCCCCAACATAGGCACGACGCACGCCCCATCCATTACGTCGTTTGTTGTGTGTGGTGACAGATTCAAGTGGTCCGATGGCAGGTACGCCACGCCCCAACACACACACACACACAGACGGGAGACACACATGGACCGTGTGTCTGTGTGTGTGATGTGCGAAGGCGCTATGAGGGCTTCTGGCGGAGCGGCAAGCAGAACGGCGAAGGACGATAGTAAGCGACGAAGGAACACACGCACTTCTTTCACATATGCCTGGCCTGCCTGCCTGCCTGTCAGTTATGTGGAGAATGGCACATCCCGTCTGGCGATGTGGAAGAACGGACAGAGAGTCGAGTGGCTGACAGACCCCTACGCGCCCGCACAACAGTGACATGTCTGATGTCTGCCTGAGATGTGTTCATGGGTGGGCGGATGGATGGATGGGGGTGGGGGACATTTGTGATGGAGGGATGGATGGATAGATATGGAGACTTACTGACCCACACTTGACGACAGAAGGCGGACATTGAAAGCGATCATGCCACACACAGAGCCGGCCTTGACCATAAACCACAAGCCATGTCTCTCACACCAACCACGCAGCCACATCCATCCGTCCATCCGTCACATCGATCACATCGATCATCGCCCGTCCCTCTTCTTCCCTCTCCTTCCCCTTTTCTTGCGTCGCCTTTTCTCCTTCCTCTCCTGCACGCGCTTCTCGACGCGTATGATGTCTTGCTTCGCCTGCACCAGCCCGGTCAGCTCACACGCCTCGTCAAGCGGAGTCTCTGGCCTGCCAGTGTAGTCGCACTCTTTTCGACTGAAGAGTTTGGCCCAAAACGATCCCCTTCTTTTTCTCTCTTCCTCCGTCTCTTTGTCTGTCTCCGGTTCTTCCTCTCCCTCTCCCTCTCCGTCTCTCTCCTGCTGCTCTTGGGTGTTGTCTTGCTGCTCGTCAAAGGTGGCGGTGAGGAAGTGGGAGAGCAAGTGTTCCTTCAGCAGGGTGCAGGCCCGCTCGAGCCCGCCAGAGAGGTACCTCCACACGTAGCCGCCCCACCTGCTGTACCAATCGTACATCGTCATGCCCATGACTGGGTTCCTGAGACCAAAAACGTCACCGGTGGCTGTGGATCCATCCTTCTTGATTGGTGCGCTTACCCCGGTACGTTGCCGCGTATCCAGAGAAGGTTCTGATACACGTTCATGCCCTGCTTGACGAACCAGCCCAGCCACGCCAGCGAGGCCACCTTTGTGGCCGTCTCTTTGTCGAGCTTTCCCTTCACCTCGAGGTCGTCCTGCACCTGCTGGCTGATTGAGGCATACTCGAAGAAAAGAGCCTTGTGCTTCAGGAAAAAGGAGCCGGTCCCGGCCACGCGGGAAGCGCCGACAAAGGTGGGGTTGGCCGTCAGCCACCCCAGAAGGTACAGAGGCGCGCCGATCGTCTCAAGCTGACACAGAAATGAGACACATGTGCGGTGTGTCCGTCTGTCTACTCGCGCCATTTGTTACCCCAGATATGAATTGGTATTTTGCGCACTGGATAGCGCTGCTGGCGCACTCATACCCGAAAGCGCACAGCTGCGGCATGGCTGGGGGACAGGCTGTCTCATCAGAACGGTGCCAATCACGCAAACAAATCTCCTTCTTCTCGGGGTTGGCCAGCCGCTGTATTTCGTCCATTGCAGAGCGGATCCTCTCTGCCCACAAATATGCTTTTGCCCTCTCTTTGTCGGTGAAGAGGCCTTCTTTTGCCGCCGTCAGGTATGTGTTCACTTGTTCTTCGACCACATCCATCTGCTCCTTGCTGAAATAACGAAAGGCCTTCAAAAAAACACACACACACGAACAGAAAGAGAGAGAGAGAGAGACCGGCCGGCCTCTATGGGCGCCGTGCGTGTGTGTCTGTCTTTCACCGGCACTCACGAGAATGGGATCCGCGACGGGAGCGACGTCCACACCATGGCGTGCGGCGATTTTGAAGGCTGCGACGAGCATCGGGCTCTCCACCAGGTTGCCGCACACATCCACCTGACGCAGGGATCCGGAGGCGGTTGTGTCTGCACTGACAGAGAGACTGCCGATGGAGGCATTGTGTGTGGCGAGGGTCAGGGGGAGGGGGAGGGCCTTTGTCTCACACGCGGCAACAAGAGCCGCGGCAAGAGGGAGCCAAAGCAACGAGAACATTTGAAGACGCGCCGCACTGGAAGACGCGGCGGAAGACGGGGGGGAAGTGGGGGTTCGCGTGATGCATGCATGTACCGTCGCGGGGCGTTTTTCGTGCTCTGCAGTGCTGACAGCGCTGGTAGTGCCGCAGATAGCCTCACGAATGCTGAATGAACTGCCAGAATGCGATTTTGCCAAGATCTGAGGTAAGACCTTGTCACAGGTTCTCACGTGTGCTGATCTGTGGCACTGTGCTGCATCCGTGACGACTCCATCCGTAGATGTCAGATGGTTTGACTGAGATGGAGCATGCCCTGCGTCACGTCAAATCTGTCCGCTCTGCCAGCCACACACCGCAGCATCCTTTTGTCTGTTCGTCGTGCCGCTGCCTGTAGCCTCTGGTGGCCGGGAGTTGGCTCCCCAGCCACCAATGGCTTCACCGCACGGGCAGAACGAACAAAACCAAGAACGCCGCCACTGCGAAAGAGCCTCTCAAATGTATGCAGACAGACATGCACCCAGGCATCAGTCAGTCACTTCCAGCATGTTCGTATCTGGCTGCCCTTGTTGGCTTCACCCATCCGTCGACCGTGCATCTTTCTCGAGCAGGCATGCATCACGACACATACTCGAGATACATGCACAATCAGATGACGAGCCGACGAGAACACACCAGACACGCAGCCAGAGTCACATCAGACATATCAGCTGAAATCAGACGAACAACACAACACACCGGTTGAAGGGGGTCAGGGATCACTGTTGCTGTTGTTGCTGTTGCTGGGGCTGTGTGTGTTGTCTGGCGTATTTCTCGAGCTCCTCTTTCAGACGCTTCGTGAACTCGTCGTTGAGATCTTCATCGTCCCAGCCTGGCCATCAAACACACACACAGAGAGAGAGAGAGAGATCCCATGGGTGAGTGAGCAGCATCGCCTGCCTCCTGTATCTGTCTGCCTGTCTGCCTGTCTGTGTGTATGTATGCGTCGCTGACTCACCCTGTTCGGCCCAGCCGGACTCCCACTGTGCGTCGTCGCCTCCATTGTCGTCCTTGTCGTCCCACTCTGGACGAATCACACACAAAACACACACGAATCCACAAACTGTGTCGGCCGTGTTTTGGACGCATCAGATTCTCCGGTGCCTGCCTGCCTGCCTGCCTGTTGACTGCGTGTGCCTCTCCTGTCCGCGCTTCGTGTTGACTGACCTTGATCTTCAAACTCCTCGAACTCATCTTCGTCCTCGAATGTGTCGTCTTCCTTTTCGCCCTCGCCAGGCACTGCAGGGGCATCAGGCGCCTTCGACATTTGTCCCTTTTACCCTGTATTGCAAAAGTTGATTGTTGGGGTCACAAAGCTCACGAAACCCATCTTTTGAAGCTCGCGCCGTTTGGTCGTTGATTTGCCTGTTTTTCATCGCAAAATGGCTGGGCTGGATCCGCAGCTGATGGAGTATCGCCGCAAGCGGCAGGATGACTACCAGAAACGAAAGCAGAACCACGAGTCTGCTTCTGCTGGCGCTCCCTCTGCCTCAGAGTCTGCCTTTGCAGCGGCCGTTCCCGAGAAGCAGCTGCAGCGAGGGGTGCACAAGCCACGCAAGGCCCTCAAGAAAGAGCAGGGTGCCAGTGCTGCAGCATCAGCATCAGCGGCAGGAGGCGAGATAGTCATTGATGATGACGATGACGATGACGAGGTGCTCATCACCGGACACACGCTCGCTTCAGCGGCAGCGGCAGCTGGGCCCGTTGCGGACAAGAAGTGCTTCGTCTGCCTGGAAGCCTTCGACACTGAGAAGGAGCCGCAAGCACACTGACACGCTCGGCATGTGGTGGTGTGTGGTGTGTATGGTGTGTCATGGTGATGCAGGTGCCTGCGTCTGCTGAACTGTGAGTGCATGCACCACTTCGAGTGTCTTAGCGACTACGTCAAGCATCAGCTCAGCGAGCGGCAGGTACACACCATAGACCACACACAGACACACAGACACACACACACGTCAGCCATCTATCTCTGTTTCTGTGCTGATGCGCTGCGATGCGATCAGGTGCCCTTCTACTGTCCAGCACTGGTACGGTCGGCAGAGGGGGGTGAGAAGCAGTGCCGCACGCAGCTGGGTGCAGCGGACCTGCAGATGCTCATAGACGAGGAGGACATGGAGAAGTACGACGCATACATGATCGAGAAGATGCAGGGCACCAAAGTCTGTGGTACGACAGACAGAAAGAAAGAAGTGGATGGTGCGTGTTCGGGTGGATGGATGGATGGACCTGATGTGTGTGTGTGTGTGTGTGTGTTGGGGTCAGGTTGGCCTGACTGTGGCTATCGTGCGTTGGTCGGCAACGACACTAGCGCGTTGCGCACGGGGTTCCCTTGTCCCAAATGCAGCAAGCTGTACGCGTGAATGCCACACCCACAGACACCCAATGACGCACATACAAAGATGGGTGGATGGCATTTGTGTGTGTGCGTGTGCGTCGTGCAGGTGTCTGCTGTGTGGGAGCAAGGTGCACGACGGCAAGACCTGTGAGGAGGCCAAGTCCACCCAAGACCCGCACTTCAAGCAAAACGAGGAGGCATTCAAGAAGTACCAAAAGGTGAGTGCTCCGACGCATCAATCGGCGCCCAAATCGATGTGCGTTCTGGTGTGTGTCAATGGCTCGGTCGTGCAGCGTGCTGGGTCGTGTGTGTGTCCTGAGTGCGGGGCTGTGGTGGAGAAGAACGGTGGCTGCGACCACATCGCCTGCAGATGCGGCAAGCACTTCATGTTCCGCCGAGGCGGGTACGCAACTTATCGCACACCCACCCACCCAGAGACAGATAGCATCCATCATCCCTTTGCTCTCTCTCTTTCTCGTTGGTTTGTGCAGGAAGGGTGCGGAGATGAACATGGGTCCACAGATGAACGTGCCGAATTTTGGAGGCGCTAACCCGTATGCTGCTGCTGCTGCTGCTGCTGGCGGTGCTGACCCGTTCTTGGGTGGTCTTGCTGGCGGCAATCCCTATTGGCCGCAGCGGCGCATCGTCCCATGGCGTGGGCGTGGGCGTGGTGGTCGTGGCGGTCGTGGCGGACAGAGAGGCGGTACATAGTGTACAGATAGCAACCTACCTACTGATGGATGGATGGATGGATGGGGGTTTGTATGGGGCGTGTGTGTGGATGGGGGGAGGGTGCCACTTATAGCCAGGGTTGCAGGCAGGAATGGGTGGAATGCCATTGGGCTTGACGGGATGGATGAGTGGATGAAGGGGTGGGTGGGTGGAATGCCTTTGTCTATCGATGACGTCTGTCTGTCTGTCTGTGTGCGATGGATTGCTGGTCGGCTGCCTGTGTGATGTGTATGTGAACCATCCTTTCGATTATTGAGCAGTGGACCGTCGACGGCTCAGTCTGGATGAATGTACAGATGTCACACCGGACAGACACCCACATCCATGTCTTTCCATTCCCCATCTCGTCTCTCTCTCTCCCTCTCTCTCCCTCTCTCTCTCTCTCTGTGTGTGTGTGTCCGTCTCCGTCACCACAGCTCACCATGCGCCCGCCCCTCTCAACCATTCGCTTCACGCCCATATCCATTTTTTTATTGCGCCCCCCTCTGTTTGCCCCGCCACTTGCCGGGCCAGATAATGCGTCGGGACGACTTGGGTTTCTCCTCCCTGCAGGCGTCGCACCGGCGGCACTGCCTCGGCTGCTTGCGGCGACTCAGCCGCTGACTGATGCCGAAGATGATGCGGCGAGACAAACTCATGCCCTTCGCCTGATGCTGCACAACCGCCTGCAGACAAGGCGTGGAGAATCATCGATTGGATGGTTGGCTCATGAATGCGGACCTGCTCTTCTCCGTGCTCGTGTTGCTCGTGTTGGTCTGGCTGTTCCTTTGTCGCATCATCGTGGTGGTCTTCCTTGTGCGTCTCTTCTCCGCCCTCCCCCTCCCCGTCAGCATGGGTCTCCGGCTCGCCCTGCCACACATGCACACATCCCATCCCCACACGTGGGTCTTTCTGCTTGCCTCGTGTGGATGCATGCCTACTCACATTCACAGCGACAGCAGCGGCATCCCCAGTCTCTTCCCCAGCTTCTTCCCCGGTCTCGTCAGCGGCTCGTGACTCTCCCCCGTCTCCCTCTCCCTCTCCCGCTCCCTCTTTCTCCATCTCATTATCGCCGGGAGCAATCATGCCCTCGTCACCGGCATGCTCGTCCATCGCCTGTACCTTGGCCGTGGGGGGCTTCGTGGCGCTGGCGGCTGGTGGGGGAGACGCCCATGTGCCATCCTCTTGGCCTTTGTTGTCCTGGGGTTCTTCGTCTTTTTTGGGTGGGGGAGGCGGCTTCCCGCAGCACGCACCCATTGATGGACACAGATATCGCGGCGCTTTTCTTCGAAGGGGGGGAAGGTGCGAGCTTTGTCCGAGCGCGATCGCATTCATCAGCGTCAAGGTTAAACGACATCCTCCCTGAAAGGTGTAGAAATGGACGTCGGCTCCATGCCACCGATTGAGTATTTGAGGATTGCGCTAACCCACGTCGGCCTCTGCCCGACTCGGCACTGGTGCTGTAGCGAGAAGCGATTCCACATCGTGGCCGCTGTCCTCGGTGACCAGCAGGAGGACGCCGACGATGACAAGAAGGAAATTCTGGCTCACTACGACCTGCACAAGTTCACGCGGAAGGAGTATCGTGCCCTCGAGAAGTACGTCACCGACGACTTCACGGTGAACGACAAGGACGCCTTCCTCCGTGTGTTCGAGGACGTTGCGCGCAAGCACGGTGATCTCCCTCCCAGGTGCGCAAGGATGAAGAAGATCAGCTGCAGCTGCAGCTTCCGTGCTCATCTCGTCTGGTGAGGGCGTGCGTCTGCCGGTGTGTTTGTGTGCGCGATTGGTCAGGCATCAGGACGTCGCTGCGCAAGTCGATGGCATAGCACAGGAGGCGACCTCCGAGTAGGGAGGGAACTGGACCGACTGACCGACGACGGCGAGTCGGCGGTCGGAAAGGAGGCGGTCAAGGAGGCGGTGATCGCTGAGCTCGAGGAGGAGAAGGGGGTGCGGACGGAGCGGCAGAAGGACATGTCGTTTGACCTCTGCGTGACAAATGCTGACGCGTCTTCCTACCTCACCATCTGACCACAGCCGTGTGTGCGAGGACAAGTCCATCCACTTCACCCCTTTGTGTGCCACGGTGGACGGTGTGTGGGGCAGAGAGGCCAGTGGTTCTTTCAGCCGCCTGGTTGAGAAGGTGCGGCCACCATCAGGCTGCATGGGCAGACAAGTCGTATGTGCATGGGGTGGGTCCGTTCTCGGTTGTCTCTGTGTGGGAGTACGTGTGTGCGTGGTGGGCGGCTCCACTGGCAGAAGACTATACGCCAGGCGGGCGCTGAGGACGGTGCTGGCATGTTTGTCGTGTGATTGAGAGTTGGTCGATGTTGACACAGTAGTTCATTTCATGAGAGACCGACAGACTAACGCATCTTCCCCCCACAGCCGTCCCCCTTCTTTGTCCGCTCTGACAGATTGTGGGCGGATATTTCTCATTGCGTTCGAAAGGAACACCACATTCATAACTCATAAGCCACTGTCGACAGCCATTTGACACGTCTGTCTTGGTCCGTCTCGTTGCGATGCAGAGGTTTTGTGTTTCTAAAAACAGAAGAAAGTGCTTAATTCTCAAGACACCACATACACATCGATCTCTCAAATGTCTGTGTGTGTGTCTGTCTGTCTGTCTGCACAGCAGGGCATGCAATGATCGCCACTCTGGCACACACATGGGGCGGGCGCATCATGGAAAGAAAGAAGGCACGCACACCACTTCATCAGCTCTAGATGAGCTTCTTGCCCTCGAAGCGAGTGGGGTCCATGAAGGACCGGACGTCCTCGTCAGTGATCTTCGCACGCGCGTCCTACACACATCACACACACACGCCGGCCGGTGGGTGGATAGGTCGGTTGATGTGTATTTCTCTCTCTGCGTGTGTGCGCACCTGATGAGCCTTGATGATGGGCTGCAGCACGTCCACCAGCTTCTGCTTGACCTCACCCTGCCGACACACACACGTAGGCAGACAGAGAGACAGAGACAGATGCTCGTGGGGATGTGTGTGTTGCGTCGAGCAACACACTCATACCGTCAGCAGCCGCCCCGCGGCGTAGTCGTCGCCGATTCTCTTGAGCTCCTGGTCGTCCTCCATCAGATAGGTCAGATACTGGTACGAGACATCCACCGACAGATCGGCACCTACACCACACACACGGGTCCATCCATCCATTCATCCATGTGTGTGTGCGCGGGTGTTGGGGGTGTTTGCGCACCGAGTTCTCTGTGCTCCTCAACGGTCGCCCTGCCGCCCGAGAAGGCGTATTTGTTGATCTTGGTCTTGATCTCCTTCGGCGTGTCCGTCACGAAGATGGAACTCGCCACCTGCACGACACACGCCGGCCACAGAGACATACACACATACAGAGGCATCCATGTGTGTGGTGTGGTTGGGTGTGTGCATGGTGTGTGCCTGCGAGCCGGCCATCTTGGTCTGGTTGCCCTGGAGTGCGGGGACGAATCGGCTGTGAATGAGGGCGGGCTTGTTGAAGCCCAGCCGAGGGGCCACGTCGCGCGTCATCCTGAAGTAGGGGTCCTGATCTATCGCCTACACACACGCACACACACATTTCCACACACACATTTCTGGGGCCGTGTGGGAGTGCGCTGACTGACCTGTGGGATGAGGCACATGATGTCTTTTCGATTGCCAAACATCGCTGGGAAGCAGGCAGGAAATGCGGGAGCAGCCTTCACACACACACACATGCGGTGTGTAGAGGTGCACAGATGTGGCTGAGTAGCTCACCTGTACAGCGGGGAATGCGCTCTTGCCGATGTTGTCGCTTTCGGTGAAGCCGAAGATGCCACGCGACTGATTGTAGGTGACCTTCTTCTGAATCTGCAGCACCAGGGGGTACATTGTCTGCACACACACACACACACATGGATGGATGGATGGATGGATGGAAAGGGGTAGGGGGATCTCTCTCTCTCTCTCTCTGTGTGTGCGTGTGTGTGTGTACCTGGATATAGTCCAGATCAGAGAAGATGAAGGTCTTGTCCTTGTCAAAACCGATCGCCAAAATGTCCTTGGCGTTCTCGTACGCAAGGCGCTTGCACTCCTACACACACACACACACACACCCCATCCAAATGTCTGAGAGTGCGTGTGTGTGGAGTGGGGGGAGGGAGGGGGGGCTTGCTGACCTCTACGGTGAGGTTTTCCTTGAACAGGAACTTCTCATCGTCGGTCAGCTGGATCACCAGAGGCACGTTGAAGGCGTCCTGCACCCACACAGACGTATACAGAGGCAGGCATCCACACACCATATGAGCATCTGCTGTCTGTGTGTCTGTCTGTCTGTCTGTGTGTGTCCAGGGGTGGGGAGGTACCTGCAGCCACTTTGTGAACCAGAAGGGCACCAGATGGCCCAGGTGCAGCGCCTCGCTCGACGGTCCCCTCCCTGCAGACAGACCCATCAATCTCTCTCTCTCCATCTCTCTCTCTCTCCATCTCATCCTGTGTGTGTGTGGGCACCTGTGTATAAGTAGAAGGGCTCCCCCTGCTCGTATGCATTGAGCAGCATGTCCAAGTCACGGTGGGAGAAGAACAGCCCTCGCCGCAGGAACCGGTGCGCCCTCTGCTTGGTGAGCCGCTCTATCCTGCACACACATATGTGCACACATGGGTGTGTTCTGGGTGTGCTCTGTGTGGGTGTCGTGTGTGCGTGCCGTGAGATGTGGTCTTCGGTGATCTTGGAGCAGCCGAACTGAATGCTGCACAGACAGACAGACGGACAGACACAGACACAGACAGAGAGAGAGAAAGCGATATGGTTGTGGATGGGTGGATTGAGGGATGGGGGTGTGTCTACATGAGTTTGTCATAGTCGATGCCGGTCTCCTCGTCGGCCTCCACCTCCCAGGGAGTCACCTGCGCACACACACACACACACACAGAGATATGGATGGATGGATGTCTGGATGGATGTCATTGTGTGTGAGTAAAAGGAGAGTACCCTCTGGCCGCCGCCAGTGGGATTGCCCTCTGGGTCGTGCTGCTGCTGGTGCTGCTGGCTGTTCTGCGGATTGCCGTTGGTCTCTGCGAAACAAGGCAAACAGCACACAGGACATGCATGCCACCGTGGGTGGGTGGGTGGGTGGGTGGGTGGCTTTGGGTGTGTGTGAGTGTACCAGTGGCCTCGTCAGTGCCATGTGTGCCGGCCACATCAGCAGGGGGAAGCACCTGCACACACACACACACACACATGGATGGACAGACCTCTGTGTGTGTGTGTGTGTCTGTGTCTGTGTGGGTGGCTGTGTGTGTGTACCATCTCTCTCGCAGGAACCTGGTCGTTCGCGAGCGCCTCCTCCGTCGCGAGCGGCACGCTGCACACATTGACACACGAATGGCACCGTGCAGAGATCGAGTGGATGGATGGATCTGCGCTTACTTCTGCTCGTCAGTGTATGCCTCGGTGGGCGTCAGGTCGAAGGACACCTCAAGCTGCACACACACACAAACACACACACACACACACAGAGAGAGAGAGAGAGATTCAGATGCACCGATACACTGTCTGCTGTGATGTGACACATACGCTGTTTTTGTTGCTGTTGTGTTTCCACTTGGTGATGTCAATCCGCCCACACGCGCCGGTCGATTGCGCCACCGGGAAAATGTTGGCGTTGATGTTCCACTTCTCGATGAACACCAGACGCAGCCTGACACACACACACACACACAAAGAGAGAGAGAGAGGGCATAGCTGTGTATGTGTGTGTATGTGTGTATGTGTGTGGGTGGGTCTGTGTGTGTGTGTGTGTGTGCTGACTCGGTGACGCTCTTGGGAACTCCGAAGTCGTCGTACATGGCCTGGTGGGTACAATGCACGCACACGCAATGAGTGTCTGTCCGTCCCATACATCTGTGTGTGTGTGTGTGTGTGTCCATGTGTGTGGTTCACCTCGCCGTAAGTGGTCTCGGCGAGCTGCCGAGCCACGGCGAAGACACGGATGGGCACATTGGCCGCCACCTACACACACACACACACATACACATACAGAGAGAGAATGGACAATGCATCGACAGACATAGGCGCACAATCACTCAGCCCACACACACGCAGAGGTACCTTGTCGTTGACGAGCTCTTGAATGCGCCGCCTGCAAAGCCACACACACACACACATATATACACACACAGACACACAGACACCAATGGATACTCGTCAGTACTTGTCCTCTTCGTTTGGTTCGCTCGTCACGGGCCCAACGGTGATGGCGCCACGCAATGGAAGGCCCTTCTGTCGTCGTGACACACGACACGCATTGTAAGTGACACTCAAAGTGCAGCAGTAGATCACATCTTGCTTGCCTTGAAGTCGACACTCTTGGTGGACCTGGCCGTCGGGATGCGCAGCGCCACCACAAGTGCGCCCTGATGGATTGATTCATTGAGTGATGCATGCATCCCACCGCATGTCAGTCGTGTGCATCAAACACACACACGCACTTTGCCGGCTGTTTTGCGATGTGATCTTGTCTTCTGTCAACTGAGTGTGTGTGTGTCGATTGATTGTCTTGTCCTGTCTGTTGCTTGCCTTGACGATGTGCAGAGCGGTGTCCAGGAGCGGGTGCCGGTTGCGCCCAGATGGCATGATGGCTGATCTTCACCTACCTGCTGACACAATCATGTCATCACCACACAGACAGACACAGGTGCCTGAGAGATCTGCCTGTGTGTGTGTCTGTCTTTCTCTGCACACATGCATCTTCAACTCACTTGAACAAACGCGCTTCAACACGCAGTTAGGAAACGTTCTCAGACAGTTTCCCTTTCGCTTCTGGCCAAGGCGAACAGTTTCGCGACTGCGGTTTCAGGGAGCACCCTAGGTGGCCTGACGGCCAAGTCCCCTGTCGGTCTGTCCAACAGTTTCGCGGCTAGTCTGCGAGCTAAGCCGGCAAGGGTGGGTGCAGATCTTTGTGGGGGTGCAGCACCGCACTGCTGTTGGCTGCGCCTCGACGCACTCAGCCGATTGCACCTCAGCAAGGCAGACTGATTGGCACTCTAGATACGCTCTCTCCTGCTGAGAGAGCCTCCCTCTCAGGTATGCACACATGCACACCCACAGATGAAGCGATGCACAGCACAGGTGTGTGTCGAGCTGCCGTGCCGTGCAGAGCACAGCTGGTAGTGCCTATCTGTGTTACCTATCTTCCTACACTCATCGCGTGGCATCTCATGCTGCATCTGTACGTCCGTGGTCTGCAGGCGGCGTTGGGTCGATTCGAGTGCAGTGCACTGCAGTGGGCGGGTGTGGTGTGTGTCTGACCTGATTGATCTACGCACTCACTTGGCTTGGCTTGTACGGAAGGATCTCCCGGTTGGTTGGCTATGCGCAGGTGTGCTCCCCTCTCCCCACTGCTTGCGTGTCATTCGTTCAGGCAGGTTAGTTAAGTCCTTGATTGACTGATTGGGTGAGGTGAGGCATCTGCCCATCCATCGACCAGCTGGCCATGCCGGACACCGACGGCGACGGGCCGCTCCCGCCCACCGAGTGGAAAGTGCAGGTAGGTACCCTACACACACACACACACAGAGGAGAGGAGCAGCACTTTATGTCGCAATGTGTGTGTTGCGTCATCGATCCATGTGTGTGTGTGTGTGCGTGTTGACTGTCAGTTTGACGAGTCCGGAGGGTTCCTTCGCGAGAACGGGGCGCACGGCAACTTCCGCATCAGGAATGGCGACACCATCAACATGTGGCTGCCCGCCGGGTTTCCCCTCAACCAGCAGCCTTGCCTTAACATCGAGGACCCCATCGGCAAGTAAGTATCAGCTAGCCATTGCCGCAGCAACGGGCCTGCATCAATGTGTGTGTGTGTGTGTGTGTAGGGTGTCGAAGGACGAGGGCAGCTCGGACGAGTTGGGCAACTGGTACTGCACCTTCACCGCCGCGACGCCCGGGCCGTATGTCTTCAAACTCACCGCCACAGAGTGAGTGGGCAGTGCCCTACAGACACACACAGGCAGGGAGGGAGGGAGGGAGGGAGGGAGAGAGATGCCTGTGGATGTGTTGCGTGTGTGTTGTGTGTTGTGTGTAGGTTTGACAGCAAGCTGCCGCGTGAAGGTCCCGAGACCAACCTGATCGTCGAGCCTGTCCTGAAATGCAACGGTCTGTGTGTCTGTCTGTCTGTCTGTCTGTGTGTGCGCCGCCGTTGTGTGAATGCTATGCGAGGTGTCATGTGTGTGTGTGTGTGTGTGTTCAGGGAAGGCCATTCTGCCCAACGCGATAGTGATGCAGTCGGTCATGTCGCGGTGCATGGGCCGCATCCGACGGTGGCCGCGGATGATCAAGTCGCCCGCAGAGCTCAACTACAATATGATACACTTCACACCTGTTCAGGTACGGCCACCCATCCCTCCATCCCTCCATCCATCCATCCATCCATCCATCCATTTCTCTCTCCCTGTCTCCCTGTGTGTGTGTGCAGAAAACAGGCGAGAGCGGCTCGTGCTATTCGCTGGCCGACCAGAATGCCATCAGCGATGAGTTCTTCCACGACGCCAAGAGCGTCCCCGACGCAGAGCGGATGAAAGCGCTCAAAGTACCTACCACACAGACGCACACACAGAGAGAGGGAGGAGGGATAGGATGGCCGGCCCTGTATGTGGGGTGTTGGTGTGTGTCTGTGTGTCGACAGGAGGCAATCAGTCAGTTTGAGAAGGAGCACGGCGTCCTGTCCACCATCGACATCGTCCTCAACCACACGGCAAACAACAGCCCATGGTAGGCTGGTACACACCACACCCGCCCCACAGAGAGAGACACATACCAACAGACAGACAGACAGACAGACCTGCCCCCCCTCTCTCTCCCTCTCTCCCTCTCTCTCTCTCTGTGTGTGTGTGTGTAGGGTGGCAGAGCACCCCGAGTGTGGTTACACTGTCCACACAGCGCCCCACCTGACGGCCGCCCTCGAGCTCGACGAGATGCTCGCCGAATTCTCCCTCGACATACTCGGTACACATGACAGAGATGCACACCGCCCTCCCTCTCTGTGTGGGTGGATGGATGGATGGATGGATGCGTGTGCGACGCAATGAGTGCAGCGCACAAGCATGTCAAGAAATACGGCATCAACGAGCACATTGACACCGAGGAGAAGCTCACCAAGTCCGTGCGCACCAGAGAGAGAGAGAGAGAGGGAGAGAGAGGGGGGGCAGGGGCCGAGGCCGTACGCGTCTCTCTCTGTGTGTGCAGGGTGATATCTGCGATGCGTGTGGAGGTATTGGAGCCCTTCAAGATGCTCGAGTGGTACACCATCGACGTCAAGACCACCCTAGCAAACTTCGAGAACGCCAAGTACCCACCTCAACCTCAACCCTCCGCTGCCCAGCCACTCACCTCACCCACTCTCGTGTGTGTGTGTGTGTGTGTGTGGGGCTATGCAGGCCGTCAGAGATAGTGGACTTCGACGTCTACTGCACACCGGGTGTGTTGGCGCCCCCTCCGCCCCCACCACCGTCCCATGAGGTGCGCTGCCTTCGTGTGTCTGAGGGTGCGCGCGTGTGTGCAGTGCATTGTATGGCTCGTGTGCGTTGTGTGTGTTGTGTCTTGTGTGGTTCATTCATTCAGGACCCCCACCCTGCCGTGGTGCCGCCCACTGCGAAGGAGAGGCAGAAGGAGTACCTCAAGCAGGAGCTGATCAAGACGCTCGGCGTCAAGCGCAACGCCATGACGGTGCCGGGCGAGGTTTCTCGACAAGTCTGCGCCAGCAAGGTGGGCGCCTTGCACACAGACGCGCAGACATGCATCTCTCTCTCTCTCTCTCTGTGGGTGGTGTGTGCGATCAATAAGGCTGAGCTGAGTGCGTTGCTTGAGGCCATCCAAGCGGAGCTGACCAAAGCAGCTGCCGAGAGCGTCGACTTCATCCAGGGCGCCATACAGGGCTATGCACGGTACCCTAAACCCTCCCCCCTTCCCCCCTCTCACCCACACACACACAGAGGGAGAGAGGGATGGATGGATGTGTGTGTGTGTGTGTAGGTGGGAGCGTCTCGAGCAGAAGAAAGGCCCTCTGGGCGACAGGCGGTGGGAGCTGCTGGCGCCGAGATACTTCTCGTATGTCACGGTGCGCATCGCTTACGCCTCCCTCCCTCCCTCCTTCACACACACACACACACACACGCATTCGTTGACCGACGCGTGTGTGCCTGATCTGATGGACGAAACAAACAGGCAAAGGATGGCACCAAGACCGCTGTGGCCAACAACGGGTGAGAGAGAGAGAGCGATGCATCCATACGTCTCTCTGGCGAACCTAGATGGATGAATGGATGGATGGATGGATGTGTGGTTTAATGTGATGTGTGCCATCCATGCATTAGGTGGGTGATGGGATGGGACGCCACGAAGGACTTCGGTGCGGCGGGCAGCCTCGTGTACCTGCGGAGGGAACTCTGCGCCTGGACCGACTGCATCAAACTCAGGTAACTAAAGGGGGCGGGGCGGCGCGGTGCGTTGTGGGATCTGGTCTCCTCCACCCATTATTCTATTCTTGTCTTGTGTTGTGTTGTGTGTGTAGGTATGGGTCTTCGCCCGAGAGTTGTCCGTTTCTGTGGCAGTGGATGGAGAAGTATGTCAAGGGCATGGCAGAGGTAAGTGGTAAGGGTGAAAGAAAAGCGTGTGGGGCGGGGCGAATGTGTGTGTGTGTGTGTGTGTTTCCCAGATATTCCACGGTGTGCGTCTGGACAACTGCCACTCCACCCCCATACACGTGGCCAAGGTACGCCGTGGGGCGCACTCACCCCTCGCACACACAGACGTCCCTTCGCAAAGAGACACACACGTGTGTGTGTATGGTATGGCTGCCACACGACACAATGGCTGGCCTGGGTGTGCGGTGCACTGGGTGCAGCACATGCTACGCGCGGCCCGCTCGGTGCGCTCAGACCTGTTCGTCTATGCGGAGCTATTCACCGGGGTGCAGGTGCGTTGAATGAATTGAGTGGGCCATATGTGATGTGACCAAAGACCATTGTTTGTTTTGTATTGTGGGTGTGGTTGTTGGTGTGGGTGTGGGTGTGGTTGTGGGTGTGGTTGTGGGTGTGGTTGTGGGTGTGGTTGTGGGTGTGTAGGCGACTGATTTGCACTTCGAGGGCGAGTTGGGTCTGAACGCTCTCATCCGAGAGGCTATGCAGACCTGGTCACCGGGCGACCTCGGTACACACACACACACACACACACAGAGGGATGCCGTGACAAACTCTCTCTCTTTCTCTCTGCTCGTGTGTGCATCACTCACGACAGCTGCCCACGTGATCAAGTACGGCGGTCGTTGTGTGGGTGCGTTCAGCCCCATCCCAGCCAAAGACAGGCACCTCTTCATGAACAGCGGCATCGCAGGTGGCGGCGGCGCAAACAATGCCGGGGGTATGCACACAACGCCATTAAGCCCTTAAGGATGAAGTGGTCTTTAAGGATGAAGTGGTTTGTTGATACGGTTTGTGTGGTCTGTGTGTACTGTGTGCAGGCCCTTCGCCTCATCCGGTTCCGCTGCACCCGTCCATGGCCACCGCTCTGGTGCGTTGCCTGTGGGAATAGTTGATGACACACGTCTGTGTGACAGTGAGTGCACTTGGCTCGTTTGGTACATTGTCCATCTCTCGTCAGTTTTTCGACTGCACACACGACAACGAGACCATGGCTGGTACGCCACACACACACACACACACACGCCCAGCCCCGTTCGTTCGTGTATATGTGTGTGTGTGTGTCGTGTGTTGGCTCAGAGAAGCGCACACCAGCAGAGGCGCTGCCCACAGCAGCCTTTGTGGCGGCCAGTGTGTGTGCGACCGGGTCCACGCGAGGGTTCGACGGTGCGTCTGATGGACGTGCACACACGGGGAAGGGTGGGTGTCACTTGTGTGTGGTGTGTGTGGTGTGTGTGTAGAGTTGGTTCCCCACCATCTCAATGTGGTCCTGGAGCACCGGATACATCAGGACTTCGACGACACGCCAGGTGAGCTTCTGGTGGATGGCCTCTCACTCTCTCTCTTTCTCTCTCTCTCTCTCTCTGTGTGTGTGTGTGTGTCTGTGTAGATGAGGATTTCCTCCGCACACCGCCCAAGATGAGCCCATTCGCCACCAAAGACCTCCCACCCGAACAAGTCAACGGTGCGCCGACACGCCCATCCATCTCTGTGGGATGGACGCCCCTTGTGTGTGTGTGTGATGGTTGTGCAGAGGATGAGCCGGTCGAGCAGCCGAAGGACACATTGGAGGAGACCCCCGAGGACGACCCATTCCACATGCCCTCAACCGGCCCGGGCGCGGTGCCCAAGTCGGTGGCGCGCAGCGTGCCAACCGAGACAACCACCACCGGCAAAAAAGTACAGCCACTTTCTCTGCACAGAGAGAGACGGGGGGGGAGGGGGGGCAGAGGTTGTGTGTGTGTGGATGGATGGATGTGTGTGTGTGTGTGTGTGTGTGCAGCTGGTGAACGGCAAGGAGGGCCCGACGGCAGCCACAGAGCGACTGTGGGACAAGAGGGTCTGTCTGCACGCCACACACATGACAACGCACCCACAGAGAAAGAGAGAGCAGCGAAACGGATGACGGAAGATACTTGTGTGTGTGATGTGGGTGTCGGTTTGTTGCGGACAGGTGACGATTCGCTGGCAGCGAGGAGGGCGTAAGGTGCAGCTCGTGGGCTCATGGGACTCCTGGACAGTGCCTGAGGTCAGCAATAACACAGAGAGGGGGAGAGAGAGAGGATGAATGTCTGATTGGTTGTATATGCCATGCAGCCGATGACGGCTGAGGGCGACGGGCTGTTCAAGTGCGACCTCTACGTGGGCAAGCAGCTCCCTACCGACGCAGAAGAGTTCCAGGTAGGTCCTTTCTCCGCTTCAAAACACTGGCACAACTCGCTGACAGAGAGAGATCTGACAGAGAGAGATGAATCTTCATCTCTCTCTCTCTCTCCCTCTCTCTCTGCGATTTGTTGATGTGCTGTGTTGTGTTGGCTTGGTATAGTTCAAATTTGTGGTGGACGGCTGCTGGCAGATCGACGAGAGCCAGCCCGCCGTCATGGCCGACGACGGCAACATCAACAATGTCATACGGATCGGTGGGGACTCTGATGCGATGCGATGCGCTGCGCTGTGCACACACACACACACACGGAGGGAGGGAGATTTGGGTGCGTTGGGGGGTGTTTGGGTGTGTGTGTGCAGGTGGGCGTCCGACGTCAAGCAGGGCGTGGCTGCCTGGGGACGAGTTGGTGGGCATCATGGCGGCAAAGAGGGTCCTCAACGACCTGCACTACCAGGTGGGTCAACGAACTAGTGGACGAATGGATGCATCGCGTGTGGATGTGTGTGTGTGTGTGTGTGTGCAGATGGGCCAGGAGGGCTACGACGAGATGTACCTCGACCTGATGGGTGAGTTGGAGGGCTACGACTCGACATCCATCCATCCGAGCATCAGCGAATTTGTTGTGGCACTCGTTCCATTCTTGCATGCAGCTGAGGACTTGACGGTGATCCAACGGCACTCGCCCAAGACGCACAGCACCATCTACTTCGTCATACGGTGCGTGGGGTGGGTGTCCGTCCGCTGGATGGATGGATGGATGGACCTTTGTGTGTGTAGGTCTGCCTTCTGGTGGCCGCACGAGTACCAGAAGCCACTGCCTGAGGTAAATAGAGAGAGAGAGAGATGCACACCTACACCCACACCCACACACACAGAGAGAGAGAGAGAGAGGTCATTACATTACTACTGGTGTGTTGTGTGTTCTTTTGGCTTGGCGTGTGTGTGTGTGTGTCTGTGTGTGTGTGCACACCAGATACTGATCCCGGGCCGCATCACGACGCTGCACCTGGCAGCGCACCTGTTCATCCCAAAGGAGGAGATCGGCGCATTCAGACGGTATGTGTGATGACTGACTGACTGACACAAACACATGTGTTTGTGTGGCGGGTGTGTCAATGTCTGCAGCGACCCGATCCGCATCAACGGCATGCGCGGCAAGATGGACCTCTACCACAAGATCGACGACATCGCACGCACACACATCGCCGGTAGGTACTATCTCTCACACACACACACACAGAGCGAGAGAGGTGGATGGATGGATGGATGTGCCTCGTTGTCTTGGAAAGGTCCGATAACCCATTTGTGGCTGGACAAGTTCCCCCCCGGCAGTGTGCTCGTCTTCTCTGCAAAAGGGTGGACAGAGGTACACTCACACACACACACACGCCCATCAATCCATCCATTTATCCATCCCTCTCTCTCTCTCTCACTCTGTGTGTGTGTGTGTGTGTGTCAGGTTCGTCAGCAGGTGGAGCACGCCCTGCCGAGCATCACAGAGGTCATGAAGGGCGTGCCGCTGACGAGCATCAGCCGCCTCCTCTACTCGTGCGACAACGAGGAGAAGGACCGCACCTATGTAACCCGCCACGCGACCACAGCGATGGACTCACTGACTGACACACACACTTGCCTTGATTGATGTCATGTCGCTCTCTGTCTGTCTGTCTGTCTGTCTGTGTGGGTGGATGAGAAGGGCAAGAGAGGCGTGTACGATGTGCCGGGGTACACACAAAGCTTTAAGAGAGACAACCACCGAGGGCCCACAAAGGGGCGGGGTCCTTCATGGGTTCATCCGTCGCGTGCCTTATGTGTGGCTGTGTGTGTGTGTGTATGCAGCCACGGTCCGCTCCCCTACTGCGGTATTTGCGGCGTGATCCCTATACTCGAGGAGGTCCGTCCGTGTGACAGAGAGAGAGAGAGAGAGACTGATGAGAGGCATGTGTCTGTGTGTGTGTGCAGGTGCGTCGCACCCACAACTTGAATCATCCCCTGTGCGTCAATGTCCGCGAGGGCGACTGGATGCTCGACTACCTCGCCGAGCGGCTCTTTGACACCCCTGAGCTGCAGCCAATCGGACAGGTAGGTACTCTCACACACAGTGGGTGTGGGTGTGCGTGTGGATGTTTGTGTGTTGAGACTCTCTCTCTCTCTCTGTGTTTGTGTGTATGTGTGTGTAGTGGGTACGTGACGCTTGGCTGGCGCCTCGCGAGAGCCTCCCGGCGTTCCTCAGGCCAACTTATTTCGACTGGGTGAGAGGGGCAGAGGGGCAACACACCCAGTCAATCGAACTGTATAAGCTATTTCGAGGTCTGGATGTGTGTGTGTTAAGGTGATGTCCACTCTGTATGGAGCCGCGTGCGCCGAGGCGCTCTCGCAGATGTCGCCATTCGTGTCGCAGAGCAAAGACGAGTTCGTCACACAGGTGAGTGAGCAGACGCCCGAAACGACCGACCGACGGGACACGCACAGACCCCCTCCCCCCGTGTGTGTGTGTGTGAATGTGTAGCTGGCGATAGCGACACTCCAGTTCTACAGCCACGTGCCGTCCGCGCCCCTCGGTAGACAGACAGACAGTGACTGACAACGTCCCTCCCTGGCTGCCCTGTTTCTTTCACACATCCTACTCTCTCTCTGTGTGTTGTTTCCACTCCGTTGTGTTACCTGCAGTGTGGGAAACCAACATGGCCTCTCTATGCGCCGGTATGTGTGTTTCTGTAGCAAGGCGCATACAGATCGGCCGCATTCAGGTGTGGTTGTGGTTGGCTTGTGGTTGTGGCTGTGTAGGTCTGCCTCATTTCTCAAGTGGCTTCATGCGCAACTGGGGAAGAGACACGTACGTCACTCAGTCAGTCAGTCGTTTGTGGCCACTCATCTCATCTCCCCATCTGTTGGTATGTGTGTGTGTGTCCATGTATGTGTTTGTGTCAGGTTCATCTCGCTGCCGGGCTGCCTCCTCGTCACGGGGTCAGTGGATGGCTGGATACACGGACGGATGTGGGCTGATCTATGTGATCTATGTGCTGTGGTGTGGTGTGGTGTGGTGTGGTGTGTCTCTGTAGGAGGCTCGCAGCGGCCAAGCAGGAGATCCTCGGCTATGCGCGCGTGCTCAGACACGCACTCATCCCAAACCTACTCGACGCCGGTAGAAATACCTACTCTACCGAGAGACATGGCAGAGACAGAGAGAGAGAGATCGTGTGTGTGTGTGTGTAGGCAACAACCCCCGGTACAATGCGCGTGACGCGACGTGGTTCTTCATGCAGGCCATCCAGGAGTACTGCCAGCTATCGCCTGAAGGCACGCCACACACATACACACACACACAGAGAGAGAGAGAGAGAGATTCAACGCCTGTGTGTGTGTGCAGGTGTGCAGTTTCTGCTGACGCCAGTGACGCTCAAGTACCCCCTCGTCCCCAACAGCGGTATAGACGCACACACACGTGAATAGGGATGTGTGCGCACGTTATGGCTGGGATGCATGGATGGCTGGGATGGTTGGATGGATGAGATGGCTGCAGCGCCAATCAGCAACTTGGCCGACCTCGTCCACCACATTTTGCAGCAATGCGCACAGGCACGTCCAAACACACACACACAGACACAGACAGAACACAGGGAGGGAGAGAGAGGCATTCATTGTTCCTGTCTGTAAGTATCTATCTGTCTATGTGTCTGTCCGTGTGTCCTTTGTGTAGGGCATAGAGTATCGTGAGTGGAATGCCGGCAAGGGCATCGACGAGCACATGACCGACGAGGGTTTCAACGTCAAAATCAGAATGAACCCTGACACAGGTGAGGTGGGTCGGGTCGGGTCGGCACAAGCCCCACAGGCACACACACACACGTCCTTCTCTCTCTGTCTGGGTGCAGGGATGATCTACGGCGGCAACCAACACAACTGCGGCACCTGGATGGACAAAATGGGCAGCAGCGAAAAGGTAGCTCACCTGACGGACTGACGGACCATTCATTTCATTCGTGTGTCACTCACTCGTGTTTGTATACAATGTTTGTCAGGCCGGCAACAAGGGTGTCCCGGCGACGCCGCGTGACGGAGCGGCGGTGGAGATCATCGGCCTCCTCAAGAGCGCTCTCAGGCACGCAGCAGCACAGGACACAACCGCACACACCGTGTGTGTGATTGCGTCCACCGGTCGGTTGGTCAGGTTTGTGTCATCCTTGCCGGAGGATGTCTTTCCCTACAAGACGGTCACCCTCAGCAACGGTGGGCTGGGCTGGTGGGGGTGGGTGGGTGGGCAGGTCTGCACTTACGCGTGTGTGTATATGTGTATATATGTGTGTGTGTGTGTGTGGTGTGGGCGCCTATGTGTCAAGGCAACGAGGTGCTGTACAAGAAGTGGAACACCATCCTGGAGGCATCCTTCGAGAAGATCTTCTACGTCCCCAGGTAGCCACACACACACATACACATACACACACACACACACACATACACAGAGAGAGAGAGAGAGATCGATGGATGGATGGATGGATGCGCCTCTTTGTGTCTGTGTGTGTGTGTGTGGTGTGATGTGCAGCGAGGAGGAGCAGAGCGACATCCCGTACTACCTGGAGGAGAAGTGGATCAACCGCCGGATGATGTACAAGGACTCACACAAGGCCAGCTCGCCGTGGTGCGACTACCAGCTCAGACCCAACATATGTATCGCCATGTCCGTCGCGCCTGAGATGTTCTCAGAGGTACCAACACACAGACACACCATACGGGGGTCCTTTTCTCTCTCTGTGGTGTGTGGTGTGTGTCTGTGTGTGTAGAATCACGCCAAGTTGGCCCTGCACACGATAGAGAGCATCCTGATGGGCGACGAGAAGCAGCTCGGCATCAAGACACTTGACCCAAGCGACCTCAACTACAGAGGTCCGTCCGTCTGTCTGCTCCACACCACACACACACACACACACAATGCCATTCGGATGTGCGTGTGTGCGATGGATGCGATGCATTGCATCAGGTGTGTACGACAATGCCAATGACGGCGAGGACAAATCGGTGGCGCATGGGTTCAACTACCACCAGGGTCCTGAGTGGGTCTGGCCGGTGGGTTATTTCCTCATGGCCAAGCTGGCCTTTCTGCGGTCCATCAACTCGCCCACCATCAGCCCTGCCGTCAAGTGGGAGTGCATGCGACACCTAAAGACACACCGCAAGTAACACACACCCACACCCACCACACACGCACACACACACACACATGGATGCCACCCATCTCCGCAGACACATTGTGGTGGACCCGTGGATGTCTCTTCCCGAGCTGACGAATGAGAGCGGCAGCCCCTGCCACTTCTCCTGCCCCGCACAAGCATGGTACACAGCGCACAAGACATTGCACCACAGCACACAGCCCAGCCCAGCCCGGCACCCCTCTGTGCGTCTGTCTGTGTGTGTGTGTGTGTGTGTGCGCAGGTCGATCGCCACTCTGTTGGCCTTCATGTCGTCACTCGCAGACAAGAACGGATCCACCGGTGGGGACGGACGCACAGACAGCCAGCCAACACACAGCACACAGCGGGGGCCGACATACCATACCATACCACTGTGTGTGTGCGTCTGTGTGTGTGTGTGTACAGCGGTGCGTCAGAATGCCTCGGCGGAGCGCCCCAAAAGTCCCTCCAAGAAAGCAGTCGAGAGTGCTAACGCCGACGCGCCGGACACGGCGTAGACAGGTAGATCCATGACATGCTGCGGTGCGGTGTTCGTGTGGTGTATGGTCAATTTTGCCGTACGTTGGCTGATTTGGACGTGTGCGGGCCTTTGTTTCTTTGGATGGATGGGTGGGGTGGATGTGTGCGTTCGTTCGTTCGTGCGTCCGTGTGGATGTGATGTATGCAGCTCTCCCTCCCTCGTCATTCATTCGTTGGTTCCTTCGTTCCTTCTTTCATGCATTTTTCTCTATATCTACATTGCATGGACGTGGTATGTTTGTATGGATGGGTGGGTGGGTGGATAGGCGTACACATGTGTGTGTGAATGACGAGAGAGAGATTGGTCGACAGAGGGATAGAGAGATAGGCCTTATGTGATGTGGTGGAATGGGGTGGGGTCACTGTGGATGTATGTATGTATGTATGTGCCTGCCTGCACACACGGCGAGGCAGCTCTGTCAGTTTTCCCCCTCACTCTCTCACACACCACACACACGCCACCATAGACACACAGGTGAGGATAAATGCATAGAGCTCTGCAGAGAGGCAGCACCAAACACACGTACGTACATGCAGTGATGCATAACATACGTACACACATACATACATGTCAATTTTGATGCATGTCATGTATGTTATGCATGTGGGTAAACCGATTGTTTGACAGACTGACGCGTACACTCGTGGGGGACACTTTAAATCACCCAGCCGACCATTACTTGTTCATTCATCCGACCAGTGCGTGCGTCTTGTGTGTCGGGAGAGCGAGTGCCAGTGGGTCTCCATTGGACAGACGAACGATGGAAATCCCTCCCTCCCCTCACCTCTTTTGCCCCTTCCTACAGCAGCAGCATAGCTTAGCTTAAAACGACTCGACCTTCCGACGCGACTAAGCAGACAAATACACACATCACGTTCGTTCGAACACCAACCATCCATCAACCATTTCTGCCTTCTACAGCACTCACCCACTCTACACACACAAACACACTCACACACACGCCCACATGCACGGATGAAAGCCAACCCTACTAGAGCCCTCCCCCTTCCCTGCTGCAATCTCTGGACACTAAGCACTGTCTGTCTCCCTCGAGGTCATTTGTCATGCGTTTTGCTGGCTGGCTGGCTGGCTGCCTGGCTATGCCGTCTTCTTCTTGTCGGGTGACCATCGCTTCTTGCCGCTGCTGGGGCTGTCCTTGAAGCGCTCTGCGTTGGGGGCGGCGCCCGACTCGTCCTTACTGAATGAATCAAAACATATGCACATAAATAGAGAGGGTGGGAGGGAGGAATTGAGGGAGCCAGGGGGTGTGATGGCTCACGTGGCGGCTTTGTCCAGGATTTCCCCCACCATGTCCGCCAACCTGCACTCGCATAGCAAGCACACAGGTAGGGGTCTGGTCGTCTATCTGTGTATCTGTGTGTTGTGTGGCCGACGAGTTCACTGACCGGTCGTCGGGCATTCTCCTGAGTGTGGGTGTGGGAACCGGCGACGAGAGGAGATCCTGCACGGGCGCACCCACGTGTGTGACGTGTTGGCTGACATGTGTGTTTGTTTGTGTGTGTGTGTGTGCGTGTGTGTGTTGGCTGCCTACCCGTCCTTCATCGACGAACTTGATGGCTTCGTTTCGCGACAGACAGTAGCGGGCTGTCGTGTACACACACACACACGAATGGATGTGCACATACACTACACAGACATGAATGTGTTTGTGTGTGGGGTGAGGTGAGGTGTGTGCTGGTCTGGTGGGGCGAGTGAGAACGGAACGTACCTAAGGGCGAGTTGTCATCCAGTTCCTCGTCGATGTCTGCAGGCAGTGCAATGTCACACACGCACGCACACGACAACCATGTGCATCAGTCAGTCGGGAGAGCAGATCATGTGTGCGTGGATGCTTACAGACCTAAATCATCTTCGTCTTCGTCAAAGTCCTCGTCGTCTTCTTCCTGCACCGCACCCAACCATACACACATCCAGCGACCCGTGTGTGTGCGTGTGTCTGTGTCTGTGTGTGCGCGCGCGGATGTCACGAACGTCGTCTTCGTCTTCATCGTCGAACATGTCACCCAGGTCCACAAACCGCCGCGACGGACTCTCATCCTCCCTGTGTGACCGGTCGGTCGATCGACAAACAGATATTCATCAAAAGTGTTTCCGTCAGTGTGTAGTGCCTGTGCTGTCGCACACGTACTCGTCCAGGTTTTGCATGGCTTCTCTGAACACCTTGTAGACCTCCTCGTCCGTCGCCTCGTTCTTGAGCCACTCCTGCAGACACGTTTGAGAGGACGTGTGTGTGGACGCAATGCACCCACCCACCCACTGCTTGATTGAGCATTGAGATGCATACGACGTACGAGTTTCTGTGTGTTGTTGTATTCGGGCGGCAGAATAGAGGGGTCCTCGAGGAGCTCATTCACCATGTCGTCTCGTGTGAGTGTGTCCATGATGTCCATGTCCTCCATCGCATTAATCACGTTGTTGCTGAATGAACAAAGGAAACACACACACACACACACATGAGCCGACGCATCCCTCCCTCCCCTCCCCTTCTCTCCTCTACTGACAGCACATCCTCCAATTCGTCATCCTGTTCATCGATTCGTTCCATTCGTAACAGTCAGTGTCAGACAGACAGGCAGAGAGACAGACAGGGCAAATGAACGAAGGAGTACAGTACATGACGTGCCGTCCGTACTCACTCACGTCCATGTTTTCCAGCTGCTCCTTGGTGTACTGAACGGCCGACTCCCCAACCTGTAGATATACAAAATGGAATGGAGGAAGACGTTGCTCGCCCTTTCACTGTATTATTGCATTCATTCACGTCTGTCTATGTGCCTGTAGTGTATGTACCTCAGTGGCGTTTTCGCCTTCTGCCGCCTTAGGCTGAAGGTACACTTGGTTCTCGAGGATCAGCGGAATCACATCTGTACACACACACAGACACACACAATGTGGGTGTTTGTGCATGGGGCGTGCGTGTCTGTAGGGTACGCACCTTCGCGCGTGAGCTCGGTGACCTCGTCATCTGCAAGTACAGTGCATCCATCCATCCATCGCCACGGGCATCGTTCGTTCGTTCGTTCGTTCGTTGATTCATGACGTACGTACCGTCCTCCTCGTCGTCTTCATCTTCGTCGTCAAAGTAAAACTCATCATCATACTCAAGATCCTAATGGATGGACACGCACAGCTGACATGCAGCAGACGCCGACCACCGACCCCCTCCCTCCCTGAAAGTGTGTGGGCTGACCTACCTCTTCCGCGCCTGCTTGCTTCCCCTTCTTTGCCTCCTGATGCTGCTTCGGCTGTTGCTGCTGTTGTGGCGTCAGCAGCTTCTTGCTGGTGTCCTGCTCTGACTTGGTGACGTCGCCCTCATCGTCGCCAGCAGCGGCGAACAGCGACACAAATGACGACACCTGAAATGCAGATACACATGGATGAAGTGCACAGAGAGACGTCCACACACAGACAGTGAATAGACAGACACATGTTGGGGTGTGTGTGTGTGTGTGTGTGTGTGTACCGGTCCCTGGGCGATGGACACACGCGCGACGAGATAGCCAGAAGTGCTGCTGTCTGCAGGATGGGATGCGCATCACTCGTGGAGTACATGCCTGTATGTATGCATGTGTAGTTGCCCTACCAGCAGGGAAGTTTGGTCTGGGGACGATCACACTGTTCTGGCCGCGTAGCGTGCGGCCACCTGCACTCCCCACACACGCTCTCACACATGAACCTGCACATATCTTGTCTGTGTGTGCGGACTGACTGACCCGTTCTGCTGTTAATGCCACTTGGGAATTGTGGCACGAACCAGGCATAGAGCAAACACAGCACGTTCATCTTGCCAGCGAAGATCTGCATACATACATGTCGGGAGAATGAATGAATGAATGAATAGGTCGAGATGAATGAAACCCTCGAAGATCTCAACGGGCTTTTCGTACGAACCGATGCAGCGGCGGCCGATAGATGATTCGGAGGGCCCAATTTTCTCTTGGAGAGCTGCGAGCTTATCTCGCAGGCAGCGGTTTCATGGAGTGCCCTCTTCCCCCGGCCTGATTGTCAGCAGGAGCAGGTTCTGTGTTGTGTGACTGATGCATTTAGCGATTGGGGGGTAGAGATCTATCCATCCATCAGTCGTCTGGTCATCGTCCGTCAAATGGGTGAGTATCGACCGCTTGCCGTGGTGTCCCTGCCTCGACGGCGGCAGAACACCGCACCAGACCAGCAGCAATGGAAGAAATACAAGGTGCGCGAGGTCCTTTTCCATACTGATAAACTGATGCTGCTGTTCCATGCATGTGATGTGTGTGTGACGGATGGCTGCAGGTGTTGTGGGAGGGGAAGGAGGCATTGTCCGTCAACGATATGGCCTTCACGCCGACAACGCCACACGCAATCGCCGTGGCGCACGCCACAAAGGTCAGTGAGTGAGTCAGTCGATCAGTGAATGATGCATCGATGTGTCAGTAGCCACAGCATCTCTGGCGCCGCTGATCTGTACTATCTCTCTCCCTATGTGTGTTTGGTGTGTGTGCAGGTGGAGGTGTATGGTGTGCCATCTCAGAGCCTGCTCAAGAGCTACACACGGTTCAAGGACGTAGTGCGGGCCATCGACTTCAGACGAGGTCGGTGCGCGGCGGGCAATGCACTGCACCCATCCATTCATTCTACCTCTCTGTCTGCCTGTCTGCCTGTCTGTCTGTCTGTCTGTCTGTCTGTCTGTCTGTCTGTGTACCTGTCAATGGGTCAGATGGCCGTCTGTTTGTGGCGTCAGACGACAGCGGCTTGGTGCAGGTGATCGACGCCAACGCCAAAGTGCCGCTGAGGAAAATGAAGGGCCACCACGGGTGGGGTGTGTGTGGGGACGGACACTGTTACACACACGATGCATGAACAGGTCTCTGTTTCTTTGTGTGTGTGTGTGTGTGCGTGCGTGTGTGAGTAGGTCTGTTCGTTCGGTCCGCTTCTGCCGCGACAACCTGCACGTCATGTCGGGGGGAGACGATGGGGTGAGTGGTTAACAGACAACACAAACACAAACACAGACAGACAGACAGACAGACAGACAGGCAGACAGGCAGACAGACAGTGGTTTGTTTGTTTGTTCAGACGTTGCGCGTGTGGGACATATCAGCCACGTCCCCCCTGACCACTCTCAAGGCACACACAGACTTCGTCAGGGCCATCGACATTGCCGACACAAGTACATGGACGAACGCCCCTCACACACCACACCGATCCAGCACCGTGTGTATATATATATATATATATATATGTATATGTGTGTTATATATATATATATGTATATGTGTGTGTGTGTGTGTGTGCGTCAGATCCCTTTCTGGTCGGTAGCGGCAGCTATGACGGCACTGTGCGGGTGTGGGACACACGACACAGCAGCAAGCCAGCAGCGGAGCAGGGGGAGGGGCAAGAGGAACCGAACGATGCAGCAGCAGCATCAGCAGCAGACGAAGAGGACGATGCCGCCACGTCCAAACAGGTACCATCCATTCGTCCATCCACCCATTCATTGGCCCATATGCACACCAATTTGTTGCTGCCCGTCCGTCCGTCTGTCTGTCTGTCTGTCCGAGCAGTGTTTGTTTCGGCTGGTCCACGGCCATCCCGTCGAGTCGGTCCTCTTCATGCCCGCCGGCAGGGTCGTCGCCTCTGCAGGTCTGCAGTCATGATGGATGGATGGACACCCATCGACGACATGGTGCTTGTGGTGTGTGTGTGCGTCAGGTGGCCCCTGCGTCAAGCTGTGGGACCTGAGTTCCGGCGGGAGAATGATCAGGCAGATCGACGCGCACAGCAAGGCCATCACTGGTACAGACACAGGCAGGGAGGCAGGGAGGGAGTGAGAGAGGCATCCATACAGCTGCCTCTGTTATACTGTGTCGTGTCTGCGTTAAAAGGGATCGCTCTGCTGCGCGTGGGTGATGGCGAGGAGCCGGTGTTGGTCACCGCCTCTCTTGACCAGACCGTCAAGATACACAGCATGGAGGTCCGTAGGCAGCCTGACACCCACATATGGTGGCCGAGGTAACTCGCATCACCCTCTCTGTATGCGCGCGTGTTGCGATCGTGATGTCAGTCCTACACCGTCCGGCACACCTTCGCCACCCCCGACGCTCTCAGCTGCCTCGCCGTGTCACCGAGAGGGGACGCAATCGCTGCCGGCATGCCGTGAGCCGCTCCCCCGTATCCACACAATGCACTCCTTTGTGTGTTGTGTTTCTGTCTGGCTGTCTGCGTAGGACTGGCGATTGGTTTGTGCGTCGGCGGCTGGATGCCGATCGGCTGAATGCCGTCAAGCAGGAGGAGATGGAGGCCAGCCGTGATGAAGAGAGTGAGCTGACGACAACCATTGGATACGAAAGGGCACAGAAGAGGTATACTTGGCTGAACAAACGAATGGATGACAGGGCTGCCCAGCAGTGAGAGACAACTGACTGTCTGTGTGTGTATCTTTGTTTCTTTGTGCAGGCGTCGTGTCGTTGCCGGCAGCGCGCGATTCTTCGCCCCCGACGCAGAAGCGGTCGGTAGCCAAGACGCACACCACACCCATGGATGGCTTCATGGACACACTTGTGCGTGTGTGTGTGTGTGCATGTGTGGGCCTGTCAGATCACGGTGGACCTGCGGAACAAGAGGAAAGACACGGGACTCGACAAGCTGCTCAAGAGCTTCCAGTACCAAAAGGCCCTCGACAGAGTCTGCAAGGGAGAAAAGTAAGGCAGCAGCGGAGGGAAAGACACAATGCCCACCCACCCACCCATCAATCCATCTCTTCTTTCTGGGGGCCAATCCATGCAGTGCGTGTCAGATCGCCGCCCTGATCGAAGAGCTCAGGCAAAGGGGAGGTGAGGGAGCACTCGCGCGCACAGACGACACACCGACAGACAGACGCAATCGATGCTGCTCTCATGCTTGGCTCCCTGTCTCTGTGTGTGTCCGTGTGGGCAGCTTTGGAGATAGCGCTTCGCGGCAAGGACCCGACGACCATCGAGCCGATCCTCAACTTCATCCACCGGCAGATCGGCAAAGAGCCCATCCTCTTCGACGCTGCCGCTCACACACTGGACGTCCTGCTGGGTACTAGATGCCAGATGGTCTGAGCCCTTTTCACCGGTATATTGTGTGTGTGTGTGTCGTCGATGCAGCTGAGAATGAGTGGATCTACCGGCAGCCAGACGAGAAGGTCAACGCGCTGCTCATGAAGATCAAGCAGGCATGCACACAATACAATACAAAGCGACACATACGGATGTGCCGTCCGCCCCATGTCAAAAATGTGTGTGTGTGTGTGTGTCGTTCAGTTTTTGGGTTTTGAGAGGAAGTTGAATTCGTTTGCGTACGAGATGCAGGGAGCCATGGTACGCCATGCCCGCCACCCGGGTCGCGCAATCATTTCGTGAGTGTGTGCGGTGTGTGGTTGCCACAGGATGTTATTCTTTCGGGCATGCCGTGAATGAACGCGACAAATCTTGCAGCACTCACTGTGCGCAGCAGTGTCCCGTCTGTTCCTCAGCTAGCTAGTTGAACTGTGTACAAGTGACCCGCGCACAGGTGCCTGGCGTAGATATCAACGTCCTTGTGATGCCATTGGGCGCATTCCTCTCCCTATCCTCTCCGCATGGGCCGTACACAGATGGAAACGATCGAACACATCTGTATTTAAGGCGAGAGAAAAGAATTCTCGACGAGAGACAGGAGAGACGGGACGACACAAAAACGAAGATAGAAGAAAAGAAAAAACGCGAGAGCATCATCTTCACGACCCGCACCGATGATGACCACACACTCGTAGATAGAGATTCCCACCTTTGATGGCTGGCTCAGACAGAGACCGGATTTGCATGCACCTCTGCGTGGATGTGTGTGCAGACGTGACGTTTCTTTGGTTTGTGCACTGACCTCGTCTCTTTTGGGGAGTGAGGATGGGGTGTCTTGTGCTTCTTCGTGTGCCACTGTCTTGTGCAGCCGAGTGGATGGATGGATGGACAAGGGGTGCTTGCCTGTGTGTGTGGTGCGGGGCGTGGGTTGGATCATCTTCTCCGCCTTTTCCAGCTCAACGTCGGTCGTCGACACCGACCGATAACGACAACGCGGCCATCAGCTTCGACGGCAGATCCCATCCGTCAAAGACATCGAGAATCAACTTCGGCGGAGCGGATTTGACGCACACTTCCGCTACGAGCTTTATACTAAGGCCAAACAATCTATTCGCCCTCGGAGGAAGGGGAAGAGACGGTACCCTGATTACTCTCTGTTTGTCCTCGTTGATCCGCGGGGAAGGCATCAAGATGTGATCATGGATGCCTCCGTGGCCAATCGGTGACCTCACGATGACGAGCGTCATATCCTAGATGATACGCTGCCACCGGTGGCAGCACTCCTGTGGCCAGTGGTCCTGTGGGAGAAAGTGGGCGTCACATCGGTAGGCAGAAGCCTGGTGGAAAAGCGCTACAAAGCAATCTGTCCTGATATGTTCTTGGCAGCAGCTTCGAGAAGGTTGGCAAGACCCACTGCCACGCGTGTGCGAACAACCCGCCCGACCGCCGCCCATGCATAGGACGGACATCCTTTGCCGATCGCCGCCCTTTCGATGAAGCCGCCGATATCCCCGGGCGAGCCTCTTCCAGAGATCTATACGACGTGTCGCAACGACAGGGCCCTTCTGCCATACAGTACGGTATACAGAACGCCTTCATTTATCAACCTCTACAAGTGCGGGCACGGACGTTACTCAAAAAGTACGCAGGGCGAGAGGAGGATGAATGGAAGTCTCATTTATTCGGTGCGTAAGCAAGTGGGATCAACTATCGTGGACACATGTGCAGATTTGACGACAGCGTAAGGAGCGCACTCGTCGTCAATCATGTGTGGGGAGTCGTTCTGTCTCGTCAGGATGAGTACGGCTTCCCGAGGAACGGGATGCACCTCCTCCTCGAGCAAAGCGTTCGCCACCCCAACATCGTCAAGCTGGAAGCCATGAAGGAGACCGCGTTCAACGGGCGGCAAAATGTGAGTATCGGCCCGTCCCACGGGGACGTCTCAGGCTGTATCAACGTCGGCATCGGTCTCAAGGCATTCTTCATGGAGTATGCACAAGGTGAGAGCATGGCTCACCCCACATGGCATGCAGGCGGCATGTGAGCGAATCGATGTTGGTGCAGGACGGAGTTTTTGCGAGCTGGGGCTACTGCTGGCATCCGAGGAGGTGCAGCAGCTGAATGGGCAAGTACACGTGACAGAGGAAGTCGTGGTGAGTGAGACCTTCAGAAGACATCCTTGATGAAATGAGTGATCTCGGCCCCTGATGCTTTCTGAAGGTCCCGCTCATTCGAGACCTTCTCGAGGGCCTGAAGCACCTTCACGACAGGGGATGGGCACACCATGACATGAAGGTACACGTTTCCTGCAGGTGGACAATGTGTGCATCGCAAGGCGAGGTGATGGATTCGCCAAGGCCCTGATCGTCGACATGGACCGGGTCGGCAGGGCACAGTCACTTGGCGTTGAGAGAGACTGGCGGTCGGTTGACATCAACGATGCCGGTACGCATGAATTGATTGAATCACTTTCACGCGACAAAAGAAAATCGGAATGTTTCTGTGTGGGGCGCTGCATGTAGGTGAGATTCTCAGTGCCTGCCTCGACGCCTGTCCCTCTGATACGGTATGCAAATGGCATCACCGGTATCTCTGCTATCTGATTGTGTCTCCCTGCCGGCCCCTGTCAGCTGTCTGTCGAGGCGGAGAAGCTGAGAGAATACATGACTGAGGGCAGGCAGTCGAACGTGACAGAGGTAAGTTGTGCGGCACTACTACAACAACGGCAGCGCCACAAAGGCGGTCCTGCGAGGTGAGGAGCGCGATTTACGGCGGTCCTACCAACTCCCGAGATCATCATGGCACTCTACAATGGCGTCAAACTGCTGAAAGAGGCGAGAAAAGATTTATCTCTGTCGAACACTCACTCATGAGCCACTCTTTGTGTGTTTGTGCGCTAGGAGGAGAACAAGGCGGCCAAGCCCGCCCCACTCCTGCTGCGGCCTCGGATGTATCTGCGGGAGGCCGTCCAGCCGACGCCGCAGCCGCACACAGTGAGCAAGCACATCAAGAGACAAGAAAACCAGCAGACGGCTCACACTGTATATCTGTGCGTGTGTTCCCATCTGCCGCACAGAAGGGAACTCGGCACCCCAACAATGCCAGCGGCACATTCGCGGGGCCCCTATCCCCATTTCATCATTCAGCCGCACCCACACGTGGTGGGGAGGGGAATGCCTGGGTGAGTGCCTCCGGTGAAGATCCACGAGCCGGGCAAGGCGGACAAGTCCGACACCAGCACAGATCCGTAAGCACACAACCATACACAACCACCCAGCAGTGCAGCTTGGTTGTTCTGTGTGATGTGTGCACACAGCAGCAGCAACAGCCGACGTACGAGCCCCTCACGCAGGAAAACGGGACCGGCAGATCAAGCTCCTCAGACCTAAGGACAACGAGCTGAGGGTGAGGGGCCTTCACACACAGAGACACGTAGCGAGGACAAAAGGAGTGATGTGTCAGACATCTGTTTATGTCATCCCCTGTGTGTCTCGTCTTCGGTCCTCTCAGATCGCCGCCTACATTTTATATTCGTCAGGACCTTCCCCATTACTGAACGGCTGAAGCAGATCGCCTTGTTCTGACAGTTGTCGCTGATGCGATGAAGGACGGTCAGCATTTCCGTCAAGCAGCATTTCCGTCAAGGACAGAAAGGCCGAAACGGCATCGTCCCTCCAGCGCCTCCCTGCTCAAGTTGAAGTTACCGCTCGGTGTGAAGGATTGGGGCCGCGATCGAGCGGTCGGGGCCGCGAGAAAATCTCTGGCGATAGCGACGATGGGCGTGCTTCCGTGGTTGGTGGACCGCCATCGGGCGGGCATGCGGGCCATGAAGCCCAACTATCAGGAATTCAGGCAGCTTTTCAGGATGTGTAAGTGGGGGGGGAAGGGGATTGATGAGGAGAGCACTTTGGCATGAGGTATGATGCCCATGTTGTCTGTGTGTGTGTGTGTGTGTGTGTGTGGCATGGACAGGGGAGCGAGCATGGAGCAGAAGGGCAACGCGGTGAGCGGAGGGGCGGGGAAACCAAAGCAAGCCTTCCTTCCTTGACGGCGCTTTGTGTGCCGTGTGTTTCCACACAGGAGACCCCGACTCCCCACGACGCCAACAGGACCACACGGGAGGTATACACCATAGTGCACACACCCACCAGGCACACACATGGGGGAGAGGGCGAGGTTGTAGGTGGATGGATGGATGGATGTGTTTTGGCACTTCAGACTAGAGGGCTGCTTGAGGCAGCCAGGCACCAGAAGGAGGACCTCCACGCCCAACTCCGCAAGGTGACCAAGGAGCCATCAGATACATACATACGCACACACTACACCCATGCATCCATCCATCCATGTGTTGTGTGTCTCTGTGTGTGTGCGTCTGTGTTGGCGCTTCAGACTACGGCGCTCCTCTCGACGGTCACAGAAGAACGCGATGGGCTGAAGCGTCAGGTTGATCAAGTAATCAGACAACACCAGTCACACACAACACACACACACACACGACACGATGTGGGCTGTGTTTGTGTGTCTCGGTCGGTGCAGTCTGCCACCAAGGTTTGTGGACTCGCCAAGGAGGTCGAGACCTTCAAGAAAGTCGCAGATGAGGTGAGAATGGATAGATAGATCGATGGCTACCCCCATGACAACACGTACACTGTGTGTTGTGTGGTGGCGCTTCAGACTAGAGGGCAGCTTGAGGCGGCGACGCACGACAAGGACCTCATATCGCCGTCTACATTTTATATTCGTTGGGCACTTTCATCATTGGACCCGCAGCCCATCGGACGGGAGCAACACACAACTCACACACACGAACGAACGACAGTGTGCGGGCTGTGTTGGCTGTTTGTGTGTCTCCGTCGATGCATGCAGTCCTGTGTTAAGTTGAACAAGACCATTGACGAGTGGAACAAGACTACCGAATGGCGCAACAACCTCCAGTTCATGACAGACAAGGTAAACAAAAATGGACGTGCCAATGGGTGAGAGCATCATGCATGAGACGTCTGGGTGCTGGCAGACAAATTGCCGGGCCGCTTGGCGCTTCTGGGAGCGGGACTGGCGCTTCTGCCAATAAGGGCGAGGCGATGTGTCCTCTGTTGGGGCGGTTGCTTCACCACACAACAGACAGGCAGAATAACAGAGTGTCGGTGTCTCTGTTTCTCAGATCGCCGCCTCCATTTTGTATTCTTTGGACAGTTTCGTCTGCGGCGCCGCATCTTCCAGGACGCCGCAGGTACTCGTATGCAATGTCCTCGTCCGCATGTCGCACATTCTCGTTTTGCTTTGTTATGTCAGGTTCCCAGATCACCTTGACATTGCCAGTCTCTGACCAGGTACTTCGCCACGCACACCAAAATCCCCCACCCACCATCCGCCCACCAACCCGTATCTGCTTAGCTATCATTCTTTTCCAGATTGAGATCACATTCAGCACGATCATCCGCCAGGCGATCGGAGAAGCTCACGTAGCTGACGACGGCATCTTAACGACAATGGGCTGCTGTTCTTCAAGTCCAGGCCATCGAGAGAGAGGTACCGCGCGCGTTTCCCTTTTCTCCCGTTCGTGTGTGTAAAAGTGTGTGGCCAACATCAGAAGGCAAAGGCAAAATGGACATACACATGCCATTTCCGTAAGGAAGGCGAGCAGCCGAGCCGCATCTGTCCTCTCCATGTCTGTTGTCTGTTTCAATTGATGTGAGTTCCCTCAAGCTTACGGCTCCCTCTCTCTCTCCCCTCTTTGTGTGTGTGTGACATCCACTCGTGTGAGGAGGGCGAGGTGCGCAAGAAGGTGCGGAGGAACAGACGCAGAGGCCTTGAGGTCAGAACCCCACCCCCGCCCCCAATCACACACACATGAACAGACCTCTCCCTCTCTCTCTCCCCTCTTTGTGTGTGTGTGTTTGTGTGTGTGGCGATGCGGACGACAACAACAATCAGCATGCGGTGGGTGAGGTGCCCAAGAAGGCCCGTCGTGGCAGACACAAGGCCCGAGAGGAGGTCAGTCCCCACACACACACCACGCACACACACATTCACACATGAACACACAAGCCAAACGCCCCCCCACTCTCTCTCTCTGTGTCTGTGGGTGTGTGTGTGTCAGGTGGAGGAGGACGTGGGTGTGCGAGGCATCTGCAGCATGGATGGCGACGACGAGCAAGACGGTGACGATGACGACGACACGCGCAGCGAGGGCAAGGACGGGCTCGACATGGACAACTACACACCACGCCTCCGAGCGAGGAAACCGAAGCCCCACTCGGTACGTATGGATGGGACAGGTGCGCCACTCGCCATCGAGACTGTCCGCACCGCCCCTTTAGTACTCGGGAGGTGGTGGCTGCTGCAAAGTCCCGAGGGGCACGAAGACCTACAACTCGAAATTACCCTCCTCATCTTCGAGCGAGAATTCGTCAGCGATGAGAAGGCAGGAGCCCCTCTGTCTGTCTATCTGTATGTATGTCTTTGTGTACGTCCACCGAATAGATGATCTGCTCAGATGATTCAGCAGCAGCCGATGGGCGAGAAGGTTTCGGCTGAAAGAATAAGGAAGGTCTATCACACAGAGACATGGAGTGAGCATTGAGGGAGTGATGCGTCAGACGTATGTTTATGTCATCCCTCTTGTGTCTCATCTCAGGTGATTTGGTGATTTCATATCGCCGCCTACATTTTACATTCGTCGGGATTTTCGCCTTTGTTGGACGGATGAAGAGATCGCCTTGTTCTGGCAGTTGTCGCTGCTGCAGCAAAGAACGCACTCAGCAGCATCCTGTGGGAGAAAATGGACGCCACATCAGGAGCGTCGCGACCGCTGATACTCACTTCATCAGGAGACAAACTGACGTCCACATCACACACATCCATCCGTATACTGTACCCGATGCATCCACGTGTGGATGGCTGTACGTGTGGATGGCTGCAGGATGTTTAGCGGTGCCTACCAGCGCCATGAGTCGGCCGTGATCGAGCACTCCAACATCCTCGACGTGCCGGTGGACAGCTGCAACTCGCTGGGGAAGGCACTCGACGCCTGATGCTCATTTGAAGAATGCATCGTAAGCACACACACGCACACGCGCACACACACACCCTCCACCCAGTGTGTACCCCTCTCTCTGTGTGTGGCGCGTGTGTGTGTGTGGTGTGTAGGAAGAGGACGACTGCGAGAATGTGTGTGGTGCATTTGTTTTCAGGCCTTTCAAGATAACGGTGCCCAAACTGAAGGCTCGCCCTTAGCCCAAGGACAGAGGTACGCATGGGCCGACACACAGAGCGCCACACAGAGACACAGATCTCCATCCTTCTGGCTGTTTACACAGCTGGAGGGCCACTGGGGTGGTTCCGCCATGGCATGTCGAGCAAGTCCGTCGGCAAGACCTTCAACGACGCCCCGCCCAAGGACACGGCGGCACAGGAGGATCGCCGGCGGCAGAGACCTCATCGGCACGGTGGAACAGGAGGACCCGGTCATCGAGACGGTCCGCGCGCCCACCATGATAGATGCCAAGCTGGCCCTCCCTGGCGGCAGCGCCGACCGTCACTACTTCGACCGGTGACTGACGTGCACACCACACACATACACGCCACGCATACACACGGAGCACCCATGCATCACATGTGTGCCGTGGCTATACGTGTGGATGGATGTGTGTGCAGACACGTGCTCCGCGCGGCAACCGACGACGAGAAAGCGGTGGCGGAGCGCGTGCACGATGCGATGGGGGCGCACTATCAGGAGCACCACGACGAGGACGTCGAGGAGGACGACGGCTGCCACACGTAGATGAACACACACATACAAACCGCATCATCGCATCACAGTACATGGCGGGAGAGAAGGGGTAGCCTAAGAGCCCCAGCAGACAGGCGACGACAAGCCATTCAGAGGAGATGACACGCCACGCTCGCTCATACAGATAGCCGGATGGGTGGCTGACTGACTTTGCATGTCGCTGTGTGGTGTGTGCATGTTTGCAGGCAACTGCATGTACAGAGCGTCAAGGGAGTGATGCGTCAGACGTCGGTTTATGTCACCCCCTTTTGTGTGTCGTCTCAGGTGATCTCATATCGCCGCCTACATTTTATATTCGTCGGGATTTTCGCCTTTGTTGGACGGATGAAGCAGATCGTGCAGTGCATGGATGTGCAGTGCATGGATGCATATGAATGAAAGGGTGGACGGATGGCTGGACATCCCATCGTTGCCTACATTTTATATCCGTGGAAGGTTGACTGACACAGTTGCGTGCTTCAATTGCAGTCAGTGCGTGAGAGACCAATGCTGGTATTATGCTGCAATGGATGACTTACAAATGGCATATATAGCGTCAGGGCCTCCCCCACTCACATCAACCGACATGACACCGCACGCAAAAAGACCAATGCCCCATCCATCCATCCATGCAGTCAGTCTCCACACACAACACTCTACACATCGATCTACACCTTCTGGCAGCACACACCCCAACACAAGGTAACTAACACCGCTCCTTGCTCAATTCAACGCCGAGTCCCCTTCAGGTGCCGGCCACGGCGTCCTTACCCCGGCTCTCTCTGTTCCCGCTCGCCTGTCTTCACGAATTGCCGTGAGAGCCATTTGCCGATGATAGGCCCGAAGGACAGCCGGTCAAGGACGGGCCGCGACTGTGTGAGCTCCGGGACGTACCCGTCCTGCTCCTTGCGCCGCTTCTTGTCCGCCCGACGGGGCGGCCGCTCGGACGTCTCGGTGGGCAGGAAACCCAATCGGTCCATCGTCTCCGTCCGCATCAAACCCCTGCACACATACAATACATGATAGAAACACACACAGAATGAGATGAATGGGGTGTGGTGTGCATCTGTCTGTCTGTTTTGCTCTCTCACTTGTCCATTCTGCATTTGAGGTATGCCTGTGAGAGGTGTCTGCAGGACATGTTGTCGTACGAGTTGCGCTTGAGGCACTGCATGTACTCCTGCTGCGACTCCGCACACTCGCCGAAGTGATCCAAAGGGAAACTCCCCCGGTCGGGCGGGCGGGGCTTTGGACTCTTCTCAGGAACGCCTCCAGCTGACATCCTCACACCCACGAGTGCCAAGATCAGCAGCGGTGCCAAGATCTGATTGCGAGCTCAGAGTGGAGATCTCAGCTGCCTAGGCTCTGCCTTTGTGCAATTGATAGATCTTCCTCCACCTCTCTGTGATGACGTCCATCAGCGTGTGGGCATGTATGTGGTTGCACTGGGTTTTGATCAGCCACGAGTGTCGGTGCGCGTTTCATGCAGACAACAGGCTCGTTTGATGCCATGAATCAGTCGATCAATGCCATGAACGCGGCGCACATTCGTGCAGTCAGCCAGCCAGCCATCCGCCGCTGTCTGATTTGAAGAAACTCTCCCTCACCCCCCATGTCTGTCTGCCTCCATCCATCCAGCCATCCATCCACCCACCCACCCATGCAGCACCACTGTCTGTCCCCATCAATTATTCACTCATTTGTATGCAGCACGACGTGTCTTGGTCGGCTATCACGCACAACTCCCCCACGGAGAGGCGCAATGGCGAGAAAGGGCATTGCGCCTCGGCGTGGGAGAGATCTACATGATGCCGCACCAAGCCACTCTCATGCGTGAAGACCATCAACAGAGACGTATGTGCACGTGTGTGTGATGTGAAGGTGTTACGTTGTCCTGTGGTGTGGGTGGTGTGGTGTCGGTTCATGACGGTTCTCGATGGTGTCTTCATGCCTCGCCACGCAACCTGACCGCCAGACCGCTTCTCAACAGCGGCCGACAGACGCGTTGCGACTTGGCACCCAACGCCACAGAGATGCCGTCAAGGAACACAGCACACATGGGTAAATCGACTCAAGGAAGGCCATCCACGGCCGCGCACATCCAACAAACACGCGAGCATCGTGCGTCGTGAGTGTTAGAGGCCTCCCTCCAACCGTTCTTACGGGGACGGACGGACAGACACGCACAGAGAGACGCAATCGGCAAAGCACACTCAGATACAGGGAGGGAGGGAGGGGACGAGAGACACACACGTCGGCAGCGCTTCACAAACTCATCCATCCATCCACTGTACAGGCAGCAGCATCCAGCCGCGTGTTGATCGATCGACTCTACACGTGCCCCGCTAAGCCACGTCTGGCAAGGAGGGCAGCCAAATCAGCACACACGGCCAGTCAGTCAGGCGAGAAAAACAGCCACCATCCTCACACCATTGGCAGCCAGCACCCAATCACATCAACCCACACACAAGACATTCACACGCACACGCGCAGCCAAAACACATCTCACCCATACACACTGCCCCCCTCTC